AATAAATAAAAAATAAAAAATATAAGCGAAAAAGTAAAATGAAAAATTGCATTAAAGTTTAACTAAAATTAACAAAAACTATTTAAGAAGAAATACAGAAAATAAAACAATAAGAAAATAACAAAAAGCAAAAGTTAAAAACTAGGAGTTGCGAAAATTGTTCACTGAAAGTTTTTTCACAAATGACAAGAATTGTATAACTTTATTATATTACATTCAATCTAAAATAAGTAAATTAGTTCCGATAGTATTAAGAAATTCAAAGTAATTTCAAAACACATTGTTTTCGATAATTCTGAAATAAATTCCAGTGATTTCAAAAAAAATCCAGTAATTTAAAAGTAATTCCAGCAATTCACAAATAATTCTAGTAACACTAAAAAAATACACCAAAAATATAGTAATTTCAATAATCCATCGTAAATCTTCTGTATTCAAATTAATTTTTATAGTTCTAAATTTATTCTTGTAATTAAAACTTAATTTTCGTAACTAACTAAAAATAATCTCTGTAATTTTAAATTAATTCCGATAGTTTTAAGAAATTTAAGGTAATTTTCAAAACAAATTATCACCGATAATTCTAAGAAGATTGTCCCAGTCATTCCACAAAAATACAGTAATTTCAAAAAATCCAAAGATAATTTTAATAATTACAAATATGTACTTGCAAATTATTTCAAGCAATTTTGATTAAATCTCAAAAATTTGTACAACTAATTCCCAGTAAAATATTAATGTCACACAAAAATTAAATAAGTATTGTCTACTTACCTATTTATTCTACTTTATATCAAAAAAAATTAATCAAGTTTGAGTTTGTGTTGTTTGTTAGTCTTAACTAAAATATTTAAGTTTTGTGTTTAAACATTTCTTGTATATTGTTAAATAAATGGCATTTAAATTAATATTAATGTCACACTTTTTCTAACACAATCTTATAAAAAGTAATAGCAAAAAAAATCGAAAAAAATTTAAAATAAAGAAATATTCCCGCAACTACTTACGACGACTTACGACTTTCATCATTATCTTAAAAACTTGAAATATTTAAAACTAATTTCCTTAAAATGTCTTTAGGCTCTAAATTTTTTTCGCTAGCAAATCGAAATATCAGAACAAAATTATTACAAAAATTGTATAACAATTTTTAATTTTTTATAATCTAAATTTCTGTTTTTTTTTCTAATCTAATGAGACCTTAGTAGTAATTTAAATAAAAATAAAAAAGTAACTCTTAAAATTGTTTTTACAAGAATTTATTTTATTCAATAACTTAATATCATCTTGAGCTGCAAGAGTTTAAAATAATTTTCATTATTTTAAACTAATTTTAAAAGTGTTTCATTGTTTTATTTTATCTATATTTGACATAATTTTTAGTAAACTATTAATGTGACACAAAAATTAAATAATGATTGTCTATTTAACTATAAATACTTTTTTAAATCAAAAAAATTTAATCTATTTTAAGTTTGAGAGTTTGTAATTTTTAGTGTTAACTAAAATATTTATCTTTATCTTTCATTTTTTTTTATTTTGTAAAAAAAATAAAATGGTTAAGTAAACTGATAACAAATAAATTCAAGATGTAACAAACAACAATTTCTGAGTAAGAGTAAAAAAAAAGATTAGTTATGTGAAAAAATGAGAGAAACAACTGTTTTCAAAATCGAATTTATTAATACGTATATGGCGTCAAAATTTGTACAAAAGTTGTAAACTATACGAAAAATAAAAAGTCTCAATTTAGTTATAATCTTCGTAGACCTCATTATGAGTGGCATAGGGAGGTCTTGTTCTGCGTTGAGGATAATTTTCTACAGCACTGTACTGTGAGCTGTACAAAGGTCTAGAAACTGGTCTTTGTTGGCTGGTTGGTGGTCTAGTTTGAGGCACATATTTGGGTTCAACATATTGAGGTTGAGGTGCTTCCTCATATTGAGGCTGTCTGTAGGCTTCGTAATCCTGTTGGTGTCTCTGGTACGGCTTTGGAGTCGGCTGGTACTGTTTTTGAGGTTGATGTTGCCCATTATCAGTCGCTTGGTACTGTTTTTGGTACTTTTGAGGATCATATTGCCCATTATCAGTCGGCTGGTCGTCGTAGGTATACCCCGGAGCCACTCTCGACCCCGCATTGTAATTATAATTGACTTTGAGGCCCGTTGGGTCGGTGTAGGAGAACCGCCCATGGATGACTCCATTCGAGTCGCCTTTGGCTGCATGGGCTATACCATCCTCGGTCCGGTAGAGGAAGCCAAAAGTACCATCGACTTTAGGAAGGTCGCGACTGTCTTGGAGAATTGTGGGGTTAAATGACTGAGTTGCAGCGAGGTGGAGAAACAATGCACTGATGAAGGCCTAAAAATTCGAAACACGGAATTGCACGCAAGGTCGGTGGTATTAAATAATGCAACAAATTGCAACCAATGGGTTAATGGGACAGAAAGTGCATTGTGGACGTCCCCTCGGAAAAATAATCAATCAGTTCAAGGATGAAATTGGACGGCAATTGAATTAAAATCTACTCTATATTAAATGATAACAAATTGTTTCAAGGTTAAAAACTGGTTTTTATTAAATAAATAATCCACTCGCGAGAGCAATAAAAACAGATTTTTAACCATTTATAACTCACTTCCCTATTTTTTCAATTACATTCCAAACACTAATCACAAATTACTTAGACAAGAGTTTTTATAACCAATTATAGGCATTCCAAGAACGGTAAACTGAAGCTTTATCAAATGCAAATTTAAAACAATTAACGTAGGAAAGTATTGTTTCAATGAATGTAAAGCGCATACAATTGCATAATGCACTTTTGAAATATTTAAATGAATAATTATTTATACACGTTAAAAATGAAAGTCTGATTTTTATTCGAAAAAAACGTGCGATGCAAATAAATACTTTAAATGATGTAAGCAATTACTTTTCTTACTTCCCGCGTCGTGTATCATAAATTATTACTATTTCACGTATTGGAAATAACCTTTGAATTAATTATGCAAAAATTTATAATTGCCCGAATTAGATAAATTTTACGACTTTCATTATCTTAAAAGCTGAAATATTTAAAACTGATTTGCCTAAAATGTCTTAAGGCTGCGAAACTAATAGCAAAACAAAATTATTATAAAAATCGTAACTTTTAACTTTAATTTTTCAATAGAATTTTTTTTCTTAAAATTGTCCTTACATCTTGAACTACAAGAGTTTAAAAAATAATTTTTAATATTTACAACTAATTTTTAGTAAAATATTGATGTGACAAAAATTAAATTAAAAATGTTAATCAAGTTGAGTTTGAGCTTTAAAATTTTTTCAATTTTGAAATTGAAATTATTTTTGAATTGTAAAAAGTTTTGGTTGCACTTTTTGTCACCGCCCGTGGTAAAAATCACAAATCACTTACAAGAGAGCACTTGTGGGAAACCATGTTGAACACTGATCACTTTTGAGCAACTGTTCAGCGTCTTCTTTCGCCCGATGAGTGTTGACATGCGAAATAATAAGACAAAATGCATACTCCATGTTTATATATCAGTAAACGGCACGCCTAACTCAATGCTGACTGGTTCGTAAGAAAAACATTCCTGCATGAGTATTTACTCTACCAGCATAAGTTTATTAACGTTAACATTCACGCCAGGTACTTAATTAAAACATTTTACGACATGTTTTATGAGTTCACTTTGCCGGGGTAGGAATTACTCTATTGGGTGATAATGAAATTGCGTTATTTGAATTTTATTTCGTAATTGTGGAAAAATGTGAAAATGACTATAAGTGGTAAAATATGGGTGGGTTATGGAATACTCGTATCTCATTTCTCGGTGTGCATTAATCATAGACCCATATAGTATGTTATCCATTGAAATTACTGAGTTATTACTGTCGTAACCGAGGTGGTGATTATTAATTATGAAGTGCAGAAAATTGTTTTGTGTTCCGTTACTCACGATTAGTCTCAAAGAATTTGCAATATCATAAGAACACACTCCAGTTTCAAACTTCTGCAAATAATTCCAAAATTTAGATTATTTAAAGAAAATAAGTTCATATTAATAAAATAAGTGAAAAAAAAAATATGTTCTAAAATAGGATAGCAAAAATGTGAAAAATCTCAATGAAACTTACCCTTTTTTGATCATAAATTAAGTTTCAACCCACTATCGTGCTCTCTAATAATAATCATTAAATTTGATTGACCGGAACGATATTATAATAAAGAATTTTATTTGCAAAAATCCCAAGTGACTATTTTTTAACTAAGTGTCACAAGTAAAAGTTTTACCTTTCGGCCATGGAGTAAAAATTCTATTTTTTTATGCCTAAGCGTTTTTACTTTTTCAATGACATTATTGACATTTACCAATGTTGTTTCTTTCTTGTTTCTTCCGCTGCTTCAGCAATTTCTGGAGAGATTGTACATTGTAGATAATCAGCATTTGACATTTTGTACTACTAACTGCACTAGTTAAATTAATAAATACTTCTGAAAATCTTAATATAAATTCCGATACTGACGTGTGATGTTTGTTTGTAAGTGTACTAATTATTTTGTTCATTTACTTGCTAATTATAGTGTTGTTCTTTACTTTTGATCGACTAAACGTTTGCGAATAAAATAGTATATGTTATACGGACTAAAAGTGAGTTTATGTGGCTCAGCTGTTCAGCTTTGTCACATAAACTATCACTTTTATCCCTAATAACATCATATACTATTCTATGTTATTTTCAAATTGATTTTAAATACGAAATAATAAAAACTATTTCTGTTCTTGTTTCTGACTATTAAAATAGTGATTATGTAGTTTGATTGTTAATTTTCTTGATAATATTTTTTTATTTTCAGTTTCCAAAAAATGTAAAAAATAATAACGTATGTTAAACACATTTTTTCAGAAACCTTAGTAATTAATAGTAGAAATTTTTCGAAAAGATTTTCTAAGAAACAGAAAGTGAAGAAATAGCATGGTAATTTACGAGTGTAACAACTCAAGAATATAACTACAGAAATTTTTAGATTTGCATAATATTTTCTCTCTAAGCAAGATATTAGTAATATTTTATTTGTAATTGGCATACCTCTTGAAGGTATGTAGATAATGTATTTTTTATGTAAACTGAAAAACCTAAATGCATATAACATTAATAAAATTATCCATAAAATGACTAAACCTATTAATCTTATTAAAAATAAACCAATTGTTAGAAAATGTAGATAAATATTTTTATTTTTAAACATAAGAGTGCCGCTGGTCATTAGATTAAAAAAAATTACATACCTACTTGTCATTTTCAAAAATTTGAGTAAATACCAGGAGATCAATTTTCAAATTTCAAGCTTGTGTTTTAAGTTATTGCATAAAATAATTATTTTTACAAAAATTATTAGCTGTTCAGTTATTTCTAGAATATACAGTAACAATAATATTCATGCAATAGAACTGGTTTTAATCAAACAATAGAATAGAGCAAATAGACATTTTAGTAGGTAAATAAACACTCTGTTTTGCTTTCAGTCTACGATGCTGAAACGTAAAAGTGACCTAGCAACACTTTTTCCTATATCATTATTATTATTATATCCTTACCTTGCAATCTGATATCAACTCACATTTATAATTAATCAACCAAAATTAACGATAATTAAGAAACTGTAACATATCATTAATACGTAATTATAATTTTCCGGATTTAGACACCTAATAATAACATAAGTTAAGTAATATGCACTTCATGTGTCTGTGTTAGTTTCAGATATAAAATCAATCTTTGTATATTTGTCAGTTTTATTATCAAATGAGTTGAATAAAAGTGAAGTGTGTTAAAACAAGTCATGGAATTGGTAAAACCATTGATAAAAACACGAACTAATCTAAAATTTTGAAAAACGAAAAGTGAACAATTGTTATCCTTATAAAAATCAACAAAACATAAAAAATATTGAACTTTTTATTTACTTCTACATTTGTAAAATATATTTTTTTCTAGCAAACATTACAAACTTCAAAAACTTTATTTTGAAACTATTTTTTTATTTATTATTTTTATTACAAATATTAGCTTAATGCGTTAAAAATGAAAAAAAAAAATAAATTAAAACCTTAACGTTACAATGATTATTTTTTTTTTTTAAATACAGTTAAAAGTTTTTACACATGTATATGATTTAGAAAATTTGGTACATAATTACTAACTAAACTAACATACAGGATGAATATAAAGTATGGAACCAAGCGGTTTTATTTTTAATCATTTGCCTTCAGAAAATAATAATTAATATAAATTAAAGTAATATAAAAAACGTGATCGTATTTTCAGAACGAAATTTTGTTTTGTTTTTGAGTTATGCGATTTTTTTTTGTCAAAATTGCAATTTATGTAAAAAAAATTTTTTGAAAAAATTAAAAATAAAGCAGATAGTTGTAATCCTTAGAGTACAGCTTTTATGAGAAAAATGATTTTATAGTGGGTTGCCATTTAAAAAAATATTTTTTTTTTGTAGAACTCAAAAACAAAAGGAAATTTCGAAAAATTTTATTCTTGTTAAATCATCACATTTTTATAGTACTTTATCACTCATCAATTAGTTTTTTCAAAAAATAAATAGTTTAAGCAAAAAACGTTTGGTTCCATACTTTTTATTCACCTGGTATGTATAAAAATAAATCAGACACTTGTAAAGTTTTATCTAATAAAAATGTTATCTGAGTTATTTTTATATTTATTATTTCTTAACAAATTTTGTTGAAATTTTATTATTATATCATTTCATGAAAGTAGTAAAAGAGCTATACAACTTAGTGCGGACTACTGTATTAAAGGTTGCATAGGCAAAAACAAGTTTTACGAAGTTAAAATGAAAAAGGAAAAATTCAAATAAACGGTAAGAAAATCAATCATCACTAAAAATGTTGCAAAAACTTGTTACACCAATATTTTAAATTATTGTTTTTACAATTATTTATTATAAAAACTTAGCTACAAAATATTTTTGGTCTTGGAAAGTATTTGCAAAATCTAGAATTCCAAATAAAAAGCCAGAACCGAGTCTTCTTTTATAACAGACATTTGGAAAAGAGTGTTTTTTTATCCGTTTTACGGATATACAGAGGGATAAAGTTTTATGATAAAAATTAAAATTCTTTAAAATCACTTGAGTTATTTATATAAAATTTTACAGGCTTTGTAAGCCATTAAAAGCGTTTATTTTTTGACTTTACTTTTTACTTTTACTTTACTTTTACTATTACCAGTGGCGTGCGTACTGTCACGTTATTTATTTTTTATTTTTTTATTAATGTTAATTTATTATGTAAAATTATGTGGTTAGAATTAAAAACACACTCTGTTTAAACTTAGATAAAAATTATTTTATTTTACTAGTCGATAAAAGACTCCTTTATCTACTGAAATTAGTTGATAAAAGCACTCTTTAACATTGAGTACTAAAGAAAAATATTTTTTCACGTTTTTTCCATTTTTTTAGCAAATCTTTGCATTTTTCTGATTTGAGCAACAGATAAGTTTAACTTAATAAACAGTTGTCTTACTATTATTACTTTTCTGACATACTTACCTACAATAAAAGGCATATTTGTGTGCAGCGTGCCTACCTATAACCTCCAGTCTACATTTTTCTTCATTTTCTTCTTAAAATATCTTATTACAAGACAACAAATATACCAACAATTTTGTGTAATGTCAAGTAAGACCTCTTTAGAACACGTTGTTTTTTCCTTTTTTTAAGTAGTTAAAAGCAAATATTTCAAAAATTGGACGAAACAGAATTTTTGAAATATTTGCTTTTCAACAACTACTTTTAAAAAAGTGTTCTTACTTTAGTAAATATAAATGGTGTAATAAAATTTTTAGAATGCCCACAATTTTACAGATTTGATAACTTTGTTAACTCGTGTGCACTTTATTATTTTCGTGAAATGCCAATAAACTTACAGCCCACGATAATAAACATGATGCTACATTTAGATATTACTTATTACTGAAACAACAAAACCCTAAGTGTAACATTTGTTATTTCCACAACACTGAGTACAGAAATGCAAATGAAAGCATCACGACATCGAGTTCAATCGTGACCCGATTATATAAGCGCATCCCGATCTTATCGAATTAAATGTAATAATAGTCACGTATTATTCCTGCAAAGGCGTCACAAATCCTGCTGGATTCAGAAACCACCGGATTACCTTCCTGTTTGGCGACCCTCAACCAGGTCAATAGACTGTTCACCGGAATAACATGATGCGAGTTCGCATATTTCTTGCGTAAACACACCAAGAATTGTTATTTTTCGTCAGAACAACTGACATTTCAACAAGGTTCAACGAGAGTGGGACTGCAGGAGACTCGCTTCAAGAGTTGCAAGAAGTCCAGAAATGATTTAATTAGGACATATTTCACAGGCGGTCAGTGTTGAGTTTAATGAAATCAATGTCGCAATCTGAATTAGTGACACAAAATTTGAAAAATTAAGACAAAGGCGTTTTGGAATTGTCTAAAAATTTCGACTAAACGAGAAAATAGATCGCAGTTTATAAGTTGTTGAATTTGAGGCATCTAAATATGAACAAAGCTGAGTTCTTCACAGGGAGTGTTCCAGGGTCGCACTTACCAAGGTTGTATCGCAGTATAAAACCTCCCAGAGCGCCGTGAGAGGGCAGTAGTCGTAGTTTGCCTCTTTGGTAGACCATCACTTATCATGAACCGAATAGTGAGTATCAAAAATTTTGGTGGGACCATGAGTGTGTTTTAAATTTTAGTTCGTCTTTGCTGTCTTTTTGGGGGCTGTTTTCGGCCAAGGCTACCATGGGGATCCCCAAACTGCGGCTATCTTGAACGAACAGAGATATCTCAGTGGTGATGGTAAATTTGGGGCTCAGTACTCCCAGGAGGATGGGGTCCAATTCAAGGAAGAAAGTGACGCTGATGGTACCCGTCGTGGGACTTATTCCTACGTGGACCCCAATGGTCAAAGACACACCGTGAGCTACACTGCTGGCAAACACGGCTTCCAAGCCACGGGGGATGGAATCCCTCAACCCTTACCCACGACATTGCCTGTAGCCCCCCAACCCCAATACCAGCCTCTTCCCCAGTACAACCCTCCGGAGTATCGCGATCAGTACCAACCCCAGTACAGACCCCAACCCCAATACCAGCCTCAACCCCAACCCCAACAGTACCAACAGCCCCAATATACCCCCCAACAGTACCAACAGCCCCAATACAGGCCACAACCACAACCCGTCTACACGACGACTCCAGCTCCACACAGATTTTATCCTCCTGGAAAACTATCCCTTAATAGGTCGCCAGATGGCTTCAGTTATAGTTTTCAGAAGGCTTAAATAATTAGGGATCATTGTCGCGTAGTTTTAGGTCCATGTGTATTATATTATTCATAATAAAATTTTTATTTAAATGTTAAATATTGTTTGCTTGGCAACGAGACAAAGAAATGAAAGTGCATAATAACCTTGAAGGTACCTGCTCGGATTTGCATCATAAGGTTAAATGGGTTGGTTCCGGATTTACGAGACGCTAACCGGAGTTGACCGGAAATGCCAAAAAAGCAATACTTTATGCCGGATCTTGCAACAAAAATTTCATTTCGGATTAGGAAATTATATTAAAAAACTCTCATTAGTGAAGTTGCACACATTTCGTTATTTTGGTACTTGTTTCCGGTTTTTTGTTGTTTTTCCTAACGTTCTCCTGCCCACCTTATCTAATCAATCTAATATAAAACAGTCATTAAAGGTTAAAGTGATTTTTATTCAAAATAAGTACCAAGAATGTAACCTTTAAAAATCAAAATGATCTTGAACCTGAAATGAGAGTAAGGTGTGGTTCCTTTTGAAATAAAGTTAAGAACAAGTTTATTTCAATGTGAAACGACAAATGTGGAGTTTTAGTCATTGCTAAAATATTAATTTATTAATTTATACAGGGTGTTCCGGCTAAAAGCAATATTTATCTAAAAATTTGCGTATATAGTCATAATAGGTTGGGTCCTAGATACTCAATGAGATTATTTTTAAAATGGTGGCATATTTCATTTACCGGAAATAAAAAGCTATGTTTCTTCGGGATTACTCGAGTTTCACTAACAAAGTTTTAATTAGATTTCCATAATACGTATTTAACCATTTATGAAAATTTTTCCATTTTTTTTTAAATTGATAACTCTGACATGTTTAATTATTATGAAAACGTATTTAGGCATATGAAAGAGAAAGATTTGATCTTTTTTTTTGATATATCATAAATAAAAAAATAATGATTAACAAACCCTCAAAAGAGAGAGCATTTTTATTAAGAAAATTTGAGATATGGATATTTGAATTTTCCCAAGCATAACGTTAAATTTTAGAAGTTTGTTAATCATTTTTGAAATTATGAATACACCAAAAAAAAAAGATCGAACTTTTGTCTTTTATGCTCAAGTTTAATTGCATGATAATAAAAAAGCTTAGTTATCGATTATTCAAGAGGAAGTTTTAAAGCCAAAATTTTCAAAAACGTGTATAAATCTCAAAAACGGCTGTAAAGTCAAATCTAAACCTCATAAAAAAAACTCCAAAAACGCAATAAAAACATAACTTTCTATTAAAATAACAAATTTAATGCCTACTTCCGGTATAATGAAAAGTTACACCATCTTGAAAATATTTTGAATGAACGGGACTTAACCGATTATGATTAAATGCAAATTTTTAAATAATGTCATTGTCAAAACTTACAAAACAGTTATAATAAATTTTTTTTAAATTTTGATGACTGAAAAATTAATGTTTTATCAAAAATTTGTTTTTTCTTCCATATAAACTTTAAAAGCTAATGTGTTCAACAGTTTACTGTTGCTTATTGACAGTTTAGGATTCTATTTATTTACGAGTACTGAATATTTAAAAAACAAAAACAATAAATCAACAAATAAGAAAAATTTACTAATTGACTTTTATAAATAAAAAATTGATGATACTTACCTAACTGGTAACAAAAACCATAAATAGGTGTATCTTATTTCTATTACAAATCAGTTTATAGTTAATTTTGTTATGATTTCGCCATCTATAAGTTGGTAGATATAACTTTATTGACGCTCAAGGTAGAATACAGGTAAAACATTTTACTTTCACGTTATCGTAACAGAATACTGTTTTATCAAATCTTTATCATAAAAGTTACAAAATATTTAAAAAAACACAACACTTTTAGTGTATACTGTATTGCTTGATTTTCAACAATCTTTTATTGTATTCGGTTCGAAGTATTGTACAATGCCAAATCACTTATTATTCATCATTTAATTTTGATTTAATTTATGTCTAATTTGAAAAATTGTCAATGTTGCACATGATTGAACCAAACATTTACTTTCGTTTCAACTGTGTAGCCCATTTGATTTTATCACCCTCAGGTTATTTAAAAACTAGTTCACGCGCAATACCCGTTTTAAGAAGATTTATACTGTTCTAGAATTTGAAAAATTACAATTTTGTAATAGAAGTATAAAATAAATTCACCGAAAAAATGAGTGCATTTATGACGCAGTAAAGAAATAAATGTACTGTTATGTGTAACAGGTTTTTCTTGTTGCAACATGTAGTAATACTTGCGACTTAACGATGTGACCAGAGATGACCTAAGAAAATTTTTGTGTGTTGTTGAAAAAGAAAGTAAACGATAAGTCAGATAAATAACACACGCCATGCAATATTATTAGAAAATATTGTAATTTATTATTTAATAGAGTATAAAAAGTACAGTTTTTTAGACAATTCTATATGGTTTATTAAAAAAATAGCCTAAGTACTAATAAATAATAACAATTTTTAAACTATGGAAAAAATGCAACATACATACAATATACATTTGAAAATATAACACACAAATATGTAACATGTAATAAATATTTAAAACAAATCAACTAATATTCTACGTAACATTCGTGTTAAAAACCTGAAATTTTAACAGAAAAATAAACTTAGGTAATTGACTATTTTTTTGTAACAAAGCTGATAAAAGATTTTTTAATTATAAATTGTTGATTTTCACAAAAAAATCCGTTTTAATACTCAATCAAATCAAAACTTTAAGTTATTTATCCTGAAACTGAAAAAATGCTTGTAGAGGTAGAGAATTTCTTGCATATACTAAACCCAAACCAGTACTATTCTTGGTGTACTAAGCTGTTATTAAAGGGTGTCCCAGCAAGTTGGTAAAGTACATTATTGACTTTTAATTGATAAAATTTAAAAATATATACAGGGAGTTCCATTTTTATTGTTTTAAGATAAAAGTTTCCTATAAACATGTATTCAAAAATACTATGTAAGCGAGCTACACTCCCTGAAAGGGGTGCATGTTTTGATGGATTTTGTCCAATATTTCAGAAAGCATTTTAGATAAAATTACAAGGGCGTCCTAATCAGGAAGGGTTTAAGATAAAAATTACTATTTTGGCCGAAGTTCTTTGTCACTTTCAGCGACAAAATTCTAAATTCCATAGTTTTTCAAAAAAAAAGGTAACTTGCGTTTTTTTGATACAACTTACCCTTTTTAAGTAAAATCTTTTTAAAATTTATGTTACAGTTGTTTTGTTGTTTTTTTTTTTCGAAAAAAATGTCACATTTGGTCGCAAATTATACTATTTTTGTTTTTTTGAACGTTTTAAAGATAAAAACTCAAATTTTGAATAAGACTTCAAGACAAGATAAAAAATCACGAAATTAAATCGAAAAATCTGCCAAAAATGCAAAATTTTGTCCAACCCAGTCGAAAAATCAATTAAAATTGTGCTGTTTTTACCTTTTTTAATAATTTTTTTAACCTAATAAACACAGTTTTTTGCTAAGACAGACCAAAACCTATCCAATTAGGTCAAAAATGATAATATTTTTGCCTTTTCAATTATTTATAAACCTTCTTAGTAAAAAATTTTGCTCAAAAAAGCCCAAAAATTACCAAATTAGATCGAAAATTATGCTACTTTTAACATTTTTGAGAGTAAAAGCAAATGTTTGATCTAAAAACTTCTTTTTTTTGCAAAATTTTGCTAAAATGGGCCACAAACTTACTAAAGTCCATTCAAATTACCGTTCTGTTTTGTCTGTTTCACTGAATTTAGTTGGTAGCCTAAAAACCTAATTTTTCGAAAAAATTCATCACCAACTTAGTGCTTCTTTTAGAGCGTTTAACATGTTTTTAAGTAAAAAGATGTTTTTTTTGAAAGATTTTGCAAAATTTTGTCAAAAAATGACCAAATTTGGTCGAAAATAACATTACTTTTAACTTTTCAGTTAAAAATTCACTTTTCCTTTATGACATTTTACTCAAGCAAGCCGAGAAATCCCCTAATTAGATAAAAAAATGGTGTTTTTGCCTATTTTTGAATAGAAATCTTAATTGTTTTTGATCAAAACAAAAGAGGTCTCTTGAAAAACGCACCATTTTCAGAGGATGTAGCTCCCTTATTTAACAATTTTTGATACATGTTTATAGGTAACTTTTGTCCCAAAATTGAATATTTTTTTACCTATGATGCACAAGATTAATATTTATCAATTGCCTATATAAATTTTAAGATTTACAGGTAAATAATGGACTTTACCAACTTGTTGCAACATCCTGTGTCAAAAATTCAATAAAAATAAAAAAAAATTTAAGGTAAAAATGTAAATGGTTCAAAAACAGAAAGATTAGTAACAATCATTTATAACATAAAATCAATAAATAATTGAGTAATAAAGATAAACTAGTTAATTTAAGTGTTGTTTTTGAAAATTATATTTTAAATAATTGCCTGAAAGCCACATAAAAGTTGTTTTATAGACAAAACGGTATTTTACAAGATCCTGTTT